TTATCGACATATTTATCATTGATTTCAATAATACGATCACATTTACGTAATGATGTACTACTAGCTGGACTATTTGAAAATACTTCTTGAATATATACACCAATATCATTTTCACCATGAATAACTTCAAAACCAAATGATGTGTCTGTTTCATTTAAGCATATATAACATGTACGTGGTGCATGTTTAGGAAAATTTAAATAATCACTTGGCATTGTTTCTGGTGTATTCATGATAGTTGCTATATGAGAATTAATTGAAATATTTCTTGTCTTTAGTATTTGATAAAAACGTTGTTCAACAACAAGTAGTTCAATAGGAATATTGATATCACGAGCTGTTTTTATAGCATTTCGTACTCGATCATAATCAGCTTTGGATACATCTTCTTGATTAACAGCTAATACAACATCAAGAATTTTCAAACCACCAGCTGCAGCTGGACTATTTGATTCGACAAGTCGAATTATATGTGGTGGTCGAGGAGATGCTTCAAGATGAAAACCGAGTCCTTCAAATTTGGACCAAAGACGCAATCGACATAGACGAGCATTAACATTACGCAAAAGTTCAGCATCACTCATTCCAGACATAATCTAAGTTCCTTTTGATTTTTTAAAATTTACTTTACCGATTGAATATAGATGACAATATCTAGAAAAAAAAGTCTTCGAAAGATTGTATATCGTGTGTAAATAAAAGTTTACATAGGTATCATTTTAATTAGAAAATATATTAGTATATATAAATAAATGTTTACAATACGAGACTAGAAATGAAAAAGAAACATTCGGAATTTGGTAAGAGAATAGTCAAATATTTTGTAAATGTTTATTATTGATTCAATATTGTAATTCTAGATATAAAAACAAATCGATTGTCGTTTTTGTGTGACAACTACTGATCGTTGTTACATTGGTTTATTGCTAACGATGAAACTCCCTTAACAGTCCGAACACTGTTTGATTGAAACTATATTTAAGTGAGAGATCACGGCGAGTAGTGTAAAAGTACATGAGGGTTCCAGTGTCTGAGCTTCTTTTTTTGAAACAGTGCCTTCTCACCTGCGTTGTTTATTGAGACGTCGCGGGTACGGCCCTATGTAAGGACGATCAGCCTTACTCGCCTAGACT